GTTTTAATTTGCATTTCACGAATGGCTAGCGATGTGGAGCATTTTTTCATGTATTTATTTGCTTGTTTAATTTCTCCTCTGAGAAGCGTGTGTTCATCTCGGATGCCCATTTCTGGATTGGGTTAAAGCTCTTTCAATAAAAAGGGTCAACTGCCTATCCAGCCTCAGGTGTGAGTTTTACAGGCACACATGGACTTTTCCTTATTAAAATTAATCTTTGCTTATCAGGCCTTTTGTTGACTCATTGCATAGTAGCTTGTGGTATTTCTTCGTTTTTTAGCACAGAGAGAAACAGCAGAAGAAAGTTGGAGAGGTGGGATCAGGGAGCCCTCAGAAAAGAAGCTTTTTAAGTAACATTTCTAGGCATGAATGACTAGCGTGATCATGCCTCCCAGTTTGTCTAACAGGGTTTCTCTTTGTGTATAATGCTTATAAAATCATTGTTTCCCCTCCTCTTTCAAGTGTCTTAGTTTATTGGTTAGCTCAGTTTTCTAAAGTGCCTTCTTGAGCAAAATCAGTTAGGGGCAAGGGACTATCCTTCAATCCCCAGCACCACTTGCCGTACCAGACCCACCCTTAAGGTAGCCTGAGCCAGCCAAAAAGAAAAAAGAAAAAAAGAATCCTCCTCAAGTGTCTTAGTTTGTAATAACTTAGATGGTTATCCTGCAGGTAAGATACTTTGTGCCAGGCACTATAACAAATGTGCATCATACGTACACATCCCCAAGCCTTATTTATTTTTCATTTTGAGAGAGAGTTTCCCAGGCTAGCTAGAACTTGAAATTTTCCTGCCTCAGCCTCCTGATTAACTGAAATTAGAGGTGTGCACTACCACAACTAGCTCCAAGCTTTTGCTAATCCTCAGAAGCACTTAAAAAGATAGCTTCTTGGGGTGGGGGAGATCGCTCAGCGGCATAAACACCTGCTTTGCAAGCATAAGGTCGGGAGTTGTATTCCTGGTATCACCAAAAAAAAAAAAAAAGTAGCTACTTTTTTACTTTACAGATAAAAACATACTCAGAAGACTCAGTAACCTGATTGAGATCTCATAGTGGTCAGCCTGGTAAGCAAAAAGCAAGGTCAGCCTGCTAAGACTCTTGATTTCTAGCCAGCTGTAGCAAGGTGTAATAGGAATGGCCTCTGTTGATTTGGGGAGTGAGGTGGGTCTAGAGAAGTGAGGAATGTCTGAATAAACATAAAGGTGAGGTCTAGTGTGAGGATTCTAGGTTGAGGGTAGAGTTTTGCCCATTTGTAGATTTCTAGGCTTTTTGTGTATTTGTAGCCATCTGGCCCTTGAGAGATTTAACAGATCTGTTGCGCAGGCCAGGAACCTTTTAGCTTAGAGTTGGAAGGCTATGGTAGTTGTGCTACTCAGACTTTCATGTACATTCACTTTAACTGGGGTTCTTGGTTCCACATGTTGCAAGTGAGGCCTGACATTTAGTATTTGTAGCAGGCTTCTGGTGATGCTGATACTAGTCTGTCACACAGTCTAATCAAATTGATTAGATTCTTTCTGCCAGGGGTTGAGTGTGGCCATTTACATACAGATGCTTTGATTTTAGAGGATGTAGGAGAATGGCTGCTTCTACACTGAAAAGCAGGTAAGGGTAGAGGAGATTAAATACATATTCCTGATTTGGAGGGAGTAAATACTTAAAACATAGATGTTGTCTCCTCCCCCTCCCCCTCCCCCTCCCCCTCCTTCTTCTTCTTCTTCTTGTGGTACCAGGGATTGAACTTATAACCTTACTAGGCAGGCACTTATGCCACTGAGCTGTCTTCCCATCTAAACACAGATGTTGTTAATGGAAGCATTTTGCCTTTTTTTTTTTTTTTTAATGTATTTGGTATAGGGTCTCACTATGCAGCTCGAATACACCCATAGTGTCTTGGCCTCACCAGTGCTGGAATTACAGGTTGTGCACCACCATGCCGTTTTGGTGGCTGGCTTGGCACACCTGAGGGTCTGGCGTGGCATGTGGTACTGGGGACCAAACCCAGGTCCTTGTGCTTGCCTAGGCAGGCTCTTAGACCACTGAGCTATCTTTGTGGCTCTCCATTTTGCTTTTATAATTAGTACACTAAAATATTTCCTAGCTTGGGGGAAGGATGGACATCAAGAAACAGGAAAGTGGTCTGAGGTGGGGACATTGCCATTACGAGTGAATTCTTAGCCTATGCAGTGCTAAGCACATCTTTGGCAAACACAGATAGGGAGCAAGCAGAGTATCTACAGCCAAACAGGAATAACATGGATGGATGACACAGCAGCAAAGCTTTAAAAAAAAAAAATTCTCAGGAGTCCTGAGACCAGGAGACTGACCAGGCTCTAGTTCTGAGTATACTCAAGGTGGGATGTATTGCAGGAGGCTGTGGCCAGCTGTTCCCTTTCACCTACTCCACTCAGTCCCTGCCAGAGGAGGCCCCAGGTGGGCATGCTGCAGCTGTGGCTGCTGCGGCTGCTGCGGCTGCTGCTGCTGCTGCTGCTGCTGCTGCTGCTGCTGCTGCTGCTGCTGCTGCTGCTTGCAACAGAAAACCAGCAGAGTGCTGTGTGTCAGGTGTGAGCAACCTTCTGTTTGGGGTTGAAACTGCTGCCCTAATCCCCTTCTTCATGACTATGGGTCTTATTGAAAAATGACTGATGCAAGAGAGAAGACATTGATGAAGAGGTAATGCCAGAATCTCCCAAAGTTAGGCCACCTTTAGATTTTGCTAAAGCTTTGAGTGGTTATAGAAATGGGTCATTGGTCCTAGGCAGCATCCCTGAGAGAAGGCCTAGCAGTTAAAGGACCCAGTGTACCTCACACTTTGGCCTTACCGTTTCAAAGGCTCTGAAAGAACAAAGGCAGAGAAAGTGTTGGCAGAACCTGGTGATGTTAACTCCTGATCATGGTATTTCTGATAGGGTAAAATAATTCTGAGACTGTTTCTCTTGTTTTGGCCCATTGACACTACTCTGGGAGTGTTTGCTCAGTCTGTGCCTTCAGTTGTAGGAGATAGTAGAGGAGCTGGGCCCATATATTTGCTCAAGACTAACGCCTATCCTCTTGGTATAAGGGAGACTGGGGACAAGGATTATCTGAGTGAGAGCAGATCTCACTCTGGCATGTGGGTGTGGGTCGTGTCCTGTGAGATATACCTAGAATGGCCCAGTTGACTCCCCCTCCCTCTGCCAGAGCTGGCCTCTTTTCTCTGATAAACTGCCCCAGGGAAGCCTAGAGCACCAGGTGTTGTTCCCCAAGGTCCAAGTGTGCAGTGTTTTCTGAAGGTTATCCCGTTTCTCAGTGGTAAACACTGCTGTGTCAGGGTGCTGCTGTGGGGCCACTTGGAACACAGATTTTTGCTAGCAGGATTGTGAAGCTTTGCATTGGGCTGCAAAGCCAGGGCTTGAGCCAGCAGCTGGAAAGAGTCCAGGACTAGAGTGTTTTTGGGTTTGGGGGTGGAGAGCTGAGGGAGAGAGAGGGAGGGGCAGGAGGGCAGAGCTACACAAGCAGGCAGTCGGCTGCTTTGGCTTTGCTGTCAGCAGAGAGGACTTTAGTCGTGTCTGAGGGCTGCTTGTTCACCATTGCTAGAGACCGGAGGACGCTGCCTTGGAACCCTGACTTACCGGCACTGCACCCGGACTATTCCAAGTAGCTCTTATGCTGTGTTTTTTTCCCTAGGAGGCAAGTCTCCTCCCTGTCGTCCCTCCTGCTCCTCCCCCGTTCTGCGAGGGATGATGCCGCTCTCTATTGCACAGCTCAGCCAGCTGATGTCACTGGCAGCGGGAAGCATCAGCAGCCTGATCACATGCTGGCCCAGTCTGTAATGCAGACGGGATAGGGGTGTGTTGTGGGGAGGGGGTTGTATGGCAACTGCCCTTGCTCAGACGCCCCCAAAAGTGCAGAGGCAGCAGCTGCAGCATCCAGCCAGCTTGAATGTCTGGCTCTTGAGCCTCGGAAACTATTATTAATAGTATTTATTGTTGTTGATACTGAGAAAAACAGCGCTTAACTCTAGGGTTCCTACTATCCTGTCCAAAACAGACTTCCAGGACTCTGAAGAAACAGTTGCAAGCAAGATGCTTTTCCCCACCTCTGCGCAAGAATCTTCTCGTGGCCTCCCAGATGCAAATGACTTGTGCCTTGGCCTGCAGTCCCTCAGCTTGACGGGCTGGGACCGACCCTGGAGCACCCAGGACTCAGACTCCTCAGCCCAGAGCAGCACACATTCAGGTAAGTGTGAGAGGATGAGTCAGATGGAGGAGGGGGCTTAGGGGTGGTGCTAATGGAGGATATCCACAGCAACAGTTGTTCTGCTCCCCTTTGCTCATTCCCTGTACACACACACAACATGGAGCTGTTTTGCAAGAGATGGAAATACTAGCTGTGAGTGTGGCTGGACAGATGGCTGCTCACAAAGCCAGGCATGGCTTTTCCACTTACCCTGATAAATTCCCTGGAGTTGTTAGTTTATACCTGGGTGGTTCTGAGAAGGGTCCCCAAGGTGACAGCCTTATGCAAAGAAGATCCAGCTAACTCCCTGATGCCCAGGCCTGTCTTGGAGATGATGAAGCAAAACACTTTTAGGTGGGGGAAGGGAGTTAAGGGATTATTACTAGATGACCAGATTCTCTCAGTGGCTTTTAAAACTAGAAAGCTGTATATGAAGGGCAGGTGATCCCTGAATCATTGTGAGGGGGAAAGAACTGTAACCTCAGTTGAAGCTGGGTACTAAATGCTAGGATACTGAAATTGCTTTTGCATAAGGTTAAGAGCATAGATCCTAAAAGGAATAGGGAGGGTGAGCAGACTTGGGATAACTCCCGGCCACAGAGGCTTGTCCTTTCTTCCCTCCTCCCTGCTTTCCTTCCTCCCCACTTTCCTTTCTGTCTCTGTCTCTGTTTCTGTCCCTCCCTCCTCCTATCCCTCCCTCCCTTCCTCCCCATCTCTCTCCCCCTCTCCCTTTCTCTCTGTGTTTCTCTGTCTCTGTCTCTCTTTTTCTATCTCTTTGTGTCTCTCTTTTGGGTAGCTAGATGGATGAAGGAAGAACCACTCCCCCTATAGGATCCCTTGTTTTGGCATGATTTGATGGGACAAATTGAAGGGACTTCTTGGCAACCCTTTGAACTACTTCTCATTATATGTTTATTTCCCTCTTGTAGTGTTAGGAGATGAGTTGACCAGACACAAGTATTAAAGTATTCAGGAAGAAATGTAAACATTCAGTACTACAAATATACTTAATGTCTATAGATCTTACTGTATGTAAAAAAAAAAAGTGTTGGCTATAGGTTCTCTAGGAAAATGGGCGAGGTAGGTGCAGCCATTTGCCTTTGGTGCTAATGAGAGGTCCATTGAGCCTGCTGTGTTTCCCCACCTTTCTGGTCCAGGAACCAGCAGTCGTGGCAGCAAAGCACTGTTCTGTCGATTCTCTTGGTCTCCACCTTTTTGGCGCAGGTCTTTTTTTAGAATCCTTCGCAGAGCCTGGGACTGGTGCATCTGCTAGGCATTTTAATGCCTGGTTGTATTGGTTAAAGCCCATTTGGGAGAAGGGAAATGGGTTTTTAAATTTTTGATATGAGTAGGGAAAAGCTTTGCTCCAAGTAATTGCCTCTGTGTTATGGTGGAGCCTCTGGAAGTACTGGCTTCAGCTGAGTCAGGCTTTTCTGGAAAGATTGATAGTTGCTCTCCATTCCTTGGTAAGAAAGTATGGTGTCACTGTTTGGTGTCCTATGCCTGGACCTTGGCTTAGAAGCACAGTTGTTTTTTTTTGTTTGTTTGTTTTTGTTTTTTCTGTATGTTCTTTGAAGCAGCCTCCTCCCATCCTTACTCCCACTGGATCTGACCAAAAGACAGAAAAGCTCACAGAGGAGGTGGGCATCTGTCTGTTGATCATCGCTGTTTGACCAAGCATTTGTACTGGGATGCAGTTTTGAGAAGATAGTACTTTTTTGGCTCTCATTTTCCTTAGGTTGCAAGGGTCTTTTTGAAATACATCTTTGGACCATGGAAATGTGGGTGTGTCCAGCTTGGAAGCTAAGCATATATGGCCTGAAAGTTACTTATGTTTCTTTTCTTTTCTTTTCTTTTCTTTTCTTTTTTTTTTTCAGAACCGGGGATTGAACTCAGATCCTTGGGTTTGCCAGTCAAGTGCTTATTCTACTGAGCCATCTCCCCGGCTGAAAGTTACTTATGGAAGTAGGGTATAAAAATAGGTTGTCTGGACAAGGTGACAGAAGCCTACAATCTTAGCTCTTCAGGATTTTGAGGCAGGAAAAATCACTTTTTGGCTGGGAGTTTGGGGCCAGCCTGGATAACAATAGCCAGACCCTGTCCCTTATATTAAAGGGTCCAGCTTCCTCACCATGAAAAAGCCTATATCTATAGCTATTTGTCTCTGTAGTGGGAATGTTTTTTATTCTTCACCTTCAAAACTCAGGCACTTTAGTGATAAATATTGCATGATTTTGTAGATCAGAGAAAGATCTGATTTTGTGGGTCTGAGCTTCCAGATTCATAAGGACCAGACAGTTGCCTGAGCAGAATGATTTGATTGAGGGCAGAGTTAGTATGGATAATTCTTCCTTTCTGAGAATTGAAGACACACCCATTCCTAATTACCATGTTCTTTGCTGTGCCATCTTTGATGTTTAGAGCTGTAGTGACAGTGGTCTCTTTTTTTGTCCTGTGTGCTGGGCCTTCTTGGAAAGCCCACAGGAAAGTACCGCCTCCTAGAGTAGGATGCAGCTCTCCCACCAGCCAGCTGCAGTACCAGATCGTGCACCCTCGCCAGCAATGCGGGAACATACAGCCCACATTCCAGTGCCTACACTGCCTTTCCCTCTGAAAACCAACTAGGTCAGTTTCTTCAGGCAGAGAGGAGAGATTTCAATAGCTTCAGGAAATCTGGTAGTTATCCTTGCACACAGCCTGCTTCCTTGCTGTGTCTGTGTGGGGCCCAGGGCACAAGCTTATCCTTTAGGCTGTACTTATTGACATATTACCCCAGGCAGCCGTGGCTTCTTGTCTGACTATCTTCTACCACTCTTAAGTAATTAGCATTGTGGAAGGCAGGGCTTGGAGAGCAAAACTCTTGACTAAACATGTTGGGTAAACTCATTGGACATTAAACACCGGCTGTGTGCCAAGCATTATTAGGCACTGAAGGTGCATCAGTGAATAAGTTAAAATTGTTAAGAATGCCCATGACTATCAATGGTAACAGACAAGAAAATATACCAAACCGAGCACAGTAATTGCTATGATTAGGGCTTCCATTTTCTACCCTAAGGATTTATTTATTTATTTACGTTAATACAATCTTTCTGTGAGTCTTAACATGAGGCTGGTACATGAAGAACATTCTCCAAGGGCTAGAATGCTGCTGCTATATAAATTCCTTTGACCTCAAAGTCCTACTGGAAGACCCTGGGTGGGGTCTGATTCTGAAGGCCATGCCTGCAAGGCCCACATGGTTTTTGGATATGGCATTTTGTGAGGTCCCTCCTTTCTCGATTATCTACCCTGGTATGAAAGATGCCCTTCAAGCAAGATCAGTATTAGAAGTATGTTTTTCTCAGGCACTCTGAATGGCATTTGGCCAGGGCCACTCTTGTCCTGCTTGTAATATGGCCATAGAATCTGTCTGTAATATCCTGCAGTGGGGGATAGAGTGACTAATAGCCATCATTTTCAACTACTTCTTATGCTGAGTATATCACATGATTTTAATGCTTGCATAGATGAGAAAATAGGCTCCCAGAGATTACAAAGTGCCAAAAGTGACACAACTAGTGACGAACTCATTAGTCTAAGCTGGGTCAATTTGGTTCTGAAACTCATGTTTCCTGTGCTTCCATGCACAATCACTTGGACAAGAAACATAACTCTCTCCACAGTACTGGGGGCTATGTAATCAGAGATCAAACGTTCTCTTGATGAGACTTTAAAGATGAGGCTGCTAGACAGATAGTTCCCACTCTTCTCCACCTGTCACTCGTAGCTCATTGCTGTATCACCTGCTGGATTTGTCTGTCTTCCCTTTTATGCTTCTTGTGTGTACAACATTACTCAGCAAGAGAGTGGGGTGACCTGAGAATCTACTTTGAAGGACCTGGGAATGACTCTTAATACCTCATATAGAAGCCTAGGAGGCAACTAGACGCTCAGTCTATGATGTCAGAGGACATACCCTATAAAGTCCTGTGGGAATTAACTTGTTCACCTCATCTAGTTTCTACTTTGACTGGTTGGCCAGTGACTGGAATATTCCCTGTGTTACTTACAGTACCCCCCAACCACTGATCTGTAGGCTAGATCAGCCTGAGAGAAGAGTCTTCAGTATTTTGCTTTGATACTTCCATCATCTTTCAAACAGCCTTTCTAAAGCAGCATTCCAAATAGTCTTAGGTCTCTCCCATGTGGAATGTGGATATCCTCAGACCAGCCAAGGACTCTTGGTCTTTTTCAGCTCCAAATTCTCCACTCATCATATTTCCAGCATGCAACCACAGTTGCTCATGGCTGTTCAATAAATATTTACTGAATGGTGAGTGCTCAGCCACACTGTTGATCCTGGGTAGGATTTTTGCTTTGTTTTGCAGTGCTAGTGGTTGAACCATGGGCCTCTCATATACTGGGCAAGTGCTGTACTAAGCTACATCCACAGATTATCTTGGTAGCTTTTCTTTAAAATTGCATATAATAGTTCTGACAGTTTATTCTACTTTTCTGCTTCCTACTTGTGTTTGTGAGGCAGGTGCTTATGTCACTGAGCTATCTCCCTGGCCCCCCTCCTACTTGTGTTGATCAATGGCATGAACAGTCTTCACAGCTTAGTGTTTTTGAGCCCTAATAGTTTCTAGGACATAATGATTGAGTTTGACAAAAATTTTCATCATATACTAGAGCCTGAGCTCTGTCATGAAGTCAGGTAGTCTATTTGGGAATAACTTTCAGTGCAGAGAGCAGGGAGAACCAGGAAGCACTGTTGAGAGTGGATACCTCCACAGTGAGAGAAGAGTTGAGGTAAGTTGGATATGTGATGGTCTTATATAGAATCTGAATATTTATTCTCTGAAGGTAATGGAACTTGTTCAGTGATTAAAATGAGGCAGGTATTGGGGAAAAGGCCATGCGTGGATGGTATCACACTTACATGGTTATCACTTGAGTTGGGGTGTGTTGTAGAGTAATATGGTTGGGGTCACAAAGAGTGGTTTGGGGATGAAAGC